CCAACTAACCTGTATTTGGAGCCCCTTTAATCGTTGTTATTTTAGAATGAGGGTTGGTCTTTGGTTACTACTCCTTTTACAGAGACTGAGCCAAGGCCTTTTCAGGGTCTAGTTAAGTGCTCTGTCACTGGTCTGTACCTTGTGCTGCAAACACATTAATCATTAGTGGTTTTTTAAACTTATGCTTTAGACCTGTACATTGTTTTTTGTCTATTGATGGCTTTGCTCTTGATACTGGGGTCCCAATCCCCCTATCTTTTGTTTTTCCTGTGCCTCATACTTCTTAATTCAAAAAGTTGCAGTGTAGTCTAAAAATTTAAGACTAAATTAAATAGTTTTTATCTTTGAAGTAGCACCTTTTCTTTCTGCTACACTTAAATCAGTGTAGTCAAGAGTTGAGTTAGGTCTCTGTGTTGTAGTTGCTATGGCTGCTATTGGTTTCTGTTTACTTCTGGTTCCTCTGGATTAGTTTGATAGGGGGTTTTCTTTAGCATTTCGGACCAACCCTCTGCTTGAGTCCTTCCCTATTTCCTGTAAAACCCTCTTCCCTATGCTCTTAGTCTTAGTATCCTAACTGTGAGGTGTGGGGCCAGTTTCTTAATCTTTCTGATCCAGATTCATTCTTTGGAGAATCTTTGCCCTTAAGCCTTGGGGTGAGGCTTTATCAGACACAACCTCTCATCTGGATAGTTTGGGTTAAGGATGGTTTTCTTTCTTATTCTGAGAGCTGTGAGTCTCTCTCCTTTCCTCCACTACGGTTGATTTCCCTGTGTTCTAGGTATTGAATACTGGATCTTCTCCCTCAGCACTTCATAAGCTTTTCTTTTATAGAAGACACTGGCATTGAAAGCATTGATGCTTTTGCTCATAGGCCATGCTCTTCCCCCAAGATCTCCACTGCTGCAGTACCTTCTCCAATCTTCTGACCAGCCCTGGGTCTTAATTATAGAGCAATCTTGTCTGTGGGTGCAAACTGGAGTCTGTGAGTAGGTAGAACTCTCCCGTACCTCTGGGTATTGATGAGTTTTCTTACTAAGGGTAACATGGCTCAGCAGTTAAGAACATCTGACTGGTCTTCCAGAGGACCCAGGGTCAATTCCCAGCACCCATATGGTGGCTCACAACTGTCTGTAACTCCAAGTCAAAGGGGATCTGTCATCCTCTTCTGGCTTCCATAGGTACTTCATGCAGGTGCTACGCAGACATACACAAGCAAAACACTCATATATACAAAAGTAATGAAGAAAATGATCCGGGTAGTGGTGGTGCATGCCTTTAATCCGATCACTTGGGAGACAGAGGTAGGCATCTCCATGAGTTTGAGGCCAGCCTGGTCTACAGAGCTAGTGCCAAGAGAGGCTCCAAAGCTACACAGGGAAACCCTGTCTCAAAAAAGAACAAAACCAAAACCAAAAAGAAAGAAAAATGTTCAAAAATATTTTTAAAAGTTTCTATACTAAGGCTGGGTGGTGGTGGAGCACGCCTTTAATCCCAGCACGCGGGAGGCAGAGGCAGGTCGATCTCTGTGAGTTCGAGACCAGCCTGGTCTACCGAGCGAGTTCCAGGACAGGCTCCAAAACAATACAGAGAAACCCTGTTTTGAAAAAAAAAAGTTTCCATACTAGCCCACACTCAGATATTAACAATTTTTTTAAATGCAGTGGAATTCTTCTTATCCCCTTGTACTATGGCTTCATTTTCCTCCTGTCACTTTTGGACTTTTTGGTTGTATATGTCTGTTTTTTTTTCTTTAAGATTTCATAGCTGGGCGGTGGTGACCACGCACACCTTTAATCCCAGCACTCGGGAGGCAGAGGCAGGTGGATCTCTGTGAGTTCAAGACCAGCCTGGTCTACAAGAGCGAGTTCCAGGACAGCTTCCAAAGCCACAGAGAAACCCTGTCTCAAAAAACCAAAAGAGATTTCAGACTGGCTGGTTATTCTCCAACAGTGGTTCTCAATCTTTGGGGGTGGGGAGGGGCTCTTTCACAGGGGTCACTGAAGATATCAGAAAGCACAGATATTTACGTTAAGATTCATAACAGTAGCAAACTTATAGTTATGAAGTAGCAATGAAAATGTTATATTTGGGGTCGCTACAACATGAGAAACCAATGTAAAGGGTTACAGCATTAGGAAGGTTGAGAACCACTGTTCTACAACCTCAGCTTTCTCATGAATTCAAGAACAGTTATTATTTTGAAGATAAGTATTTTTGTTTGTTTGGTTTGGTTTTTGGAGACAGGGTTTCTCTGTGTAACAGCCCTAGCTGTTCTGGAACTAGCTCTGTAGACTAGCCTGACCTTGAGCTCACAGCGATCTGCCTGCCTCTGCCACCCAAGTGCTGGGATTAAAGGCATGCACCATTACCACCTGGCTATGTTTTTTTTTCCTTATTGGAATATGACTGATTTCATTTTCCAATTTCTACATTCTAGACAGAAACTGAAATTCCTTTGTAATCAAAGATACTTTTGAATTTTTTTTTTTTTTTTGGTTTTTACGAGACAGGGTTTCTCTGTATTGTTTTGGAGGCTGTCGGTCCAGCCTGGCCTCGAACTCACAGAGATCCGCCTGCCTCTGCCTCCCGAGTGCTGGGATTAAAGGCGTGCGCCACCACCGCCCGGCTAGTTTTGAATTTCTTACTGTTTTATTTAGGAAACATTGCAAAATGAAAAGTCAGTATAGTCACGAAACTTCTGTGTGACCATTACCTAATTTATCAGTTACTAAATTTTTGCCAAGTGTGCTTTACCACTGTTTTCTATACATTTACAAATTGTTACTATTTATGTGTTTGAGAGTAGAATCCTCATTGCCATGTCTGCCTACTTCCGAATACATTATTCTCACTAAATTTTTAAAAATTAATTTTACGTGTGTGGGTTAATACCCAGATTTTCAATTCGATTCCATTGGTCTACCTGTCTATTTTTGTGCCAATACCAAGCTGTTTTCAGGACTATAGCTCTATAATAGAGCTTGAGGTCAGGGATGGTGATGCCTCCGGACATTGCCTTGTTGAACAGGGTTGTTTTGTACGAACATCTGATCTTTGACAAAGAAGCTAAAAATATACAATGGAATAAAGAAAGCATCTTCAACAAATGGTGCTGGCATAATTGGAGACTGGCATGTAGAAGAATGCGGATCGATTCATGTTTATCGCCATGCACAAAACTTAAGTCCAAATGGATCAAAGACCTCAACATAAATCCAGCCACACTGAACCTCTTAGAAGAGAAAGTGGGTGGTACCCTTGAACGAATTGGTACAGGAGACAGCTTCCTGAACATAACACCAGTAGCACAGACAGTGAGATCAACAATTAATAAATGGGACCTACTGAAACTGAGAAGCTTCTGTAAGGCAAAGGACACAGTCAGCAAGACAAAAAGGCAGCCCACAGAATGGGAAAAAATATTCACTAATCCCACATCTGACAGAGGGTTGATCTCCAAAATTTACAAAGAACTCAAGAAGCAAGTCTCCAAAACAGCAAAGGACCCAATTAAAAAGTGGGCTGCAGAACTAAATAGAGAGTTTTCAATAGAGGAGTCTAAAATGGCTGAGAGGCACTTGAGAAAGTGCTCAACATCCTTAGCCATCCGGGAAATGCAAATCAAAACAACTCTGAGATACCATCTCACTCCTGTCAGAATGGCTAAAATCAAAAACACCAATGACAATTTATGCTGGAGAGGATGTGGTGAAAGGGGGACACTCCTCCATTGCTGGTGGGAGTGCCAACTGGTTCAGCCACTTTGGAAATCAGTATGGAGATTCCTCAGAAAAATGGTAATAAACCTACCACAAGACCCAGCAACTCCACTCTTAGGCATATATCCAAAAGATGCCCATTCATACAACAAAGATGTCTGTTCCATTATGTTCATAGCAGCTTTATTTGTAATAGCCAGAACTTGGAAGCAACCTAGATGTCCCTCACCCGAAGAGTGGATAGAGAAAATGTGGTACATCTACACAATGGAGTACTATTCAGCAGAAAAAAATAATGGAATCATGAGATTCGCAGGCAAATGGATGACACTAGAAGAAACCATCCTGAGTGAGGTAACCCAGTCACAAAAAGAGAAACATGGCATGTACTCTCTCATATATGGATTTTAGACATAGATCTGGGGAGTGCCAGCCTACAATCCTATGGCCAGAGAGTCTGGGAAACAGAAACTTTATTTAGTGGCTGATCGAAGAAGAGGCAGACTCCCTTGGTTAAGTACTGAGCTGAACTCAAGAAAGCCAGTAACAGAGAGGGAGGACTGATGATCAAAGGGATTAAGACTGGGCTGGTTTAACCTCCAGAAACAGCTGACCAGACAAAGGTTAACTCTTGAATCCCAGGCATAAGCCTGGGAATCCAGCATGGGACTGATCAAGACCTCCTGAATCTGGGTGTCAGTGAAGAGGCCTAGGGAATCTATTGAGCCTTGGGCAGCAGATCAGTACCCATCCCAAGTATACACACGGACTTTGGACTCCCATAGAACAATGTGAGGTGCACTCTCACCCTGAACTCTTGGGGAAGGGTCTAGGCCCTGCCCTATATGAAATGACAGACTATGCACACCCCCATGGAGGGCCTCACCCTCCCTGGGGAAATGAGGGGATAACGGGGGGGGGTGGGGGGAGGGCACGGGAGGAGGGGAGGGAATGGGAGAGGGACCTGGAACTGACTTGTGAAGCAACCTCGTTTCTTATCTAAATTTAAACTGGAAAATAAAATTTAAAAAAAAATTAATTTTACTATTTTGAGCAAGGGTCTCATGCTGTTCCCATTGCTAGTCTGGAACTCACTATGTGGACCAGGCTGGCCTTAAACTCAGATCCTCCTGGCTCTGATTCCTGAGTGATGGAATTAAGGGCCTGTGTTACCATACCCAGCTAAACCTCATTTTAAAGTCTTACTAATATGCTGTATTACATACTGTCTTACAGTATGCATCAGTAATATGTATTCATTAAATCTCTTTCTGTTTGCAGGTATCATTATTAGGATTGGAGATTTTAAGTGCCTTTGTGGATAGATTGTCAACACGATTTAAATCTTATGTACCAATGGGTAAGTTCACTTTAAGAATCATTGATTCTTCTTACTTTGAGTTTTTTGTTAAACGTATTTCGTTTCTGTAAATTTAGAAAGCTTGTAGCTTGGGGACTAGTGATATTCAGTGATTAAAGTTCTTGTTCTTCAGAAGGCCTGAGTTCAAGTCTCAGCACTCACAGCAGGTGGTTCACAAACATTTATAATGCTAGCTCCAGGAGATCTGATGCACACACAGTCTACAGTAACATACAGATATATTAAATTAAAGTCAGTTTTAAAAATACAATTCTGAGCTGGGTGGTGCACATCTTTAATCCCAGCACTCAGGAGGCAGAGACAGGTAGTAGGAACTGTGAGTTTGAGGCCAGCCTGGTCTACAGAGCAAGTTCCAGAACATCCAGGGCTACACAGAGAAACCCTGTCTCAAAAATACACAACACACACACACACACACACACACACACACACACACACACACACACACACACAATTTTGTACAGCCCAAAATATGGTATTTTAACATTTTAATTTACTCAAAAAGAGTTGAAAGCTTCTTAAATAGATAATTATAATTCCGCAGAAGCAACAAGATGATATGCTTACCTTTTTTAGTGTATCTAATTTTTTTTTGTTGTTGTTTTTGTTTTTACGAGACAGGGTTTCTCTGTATTGTTTTGGAGGCTGTCGGTCCAGCCCAGCCTCGAACTCACAGAGATCCGCCTGCCTCTGCCTCCCGAGTGCTGGGATTAAAGGTGTGCGCCATCACCGCCCGGCTGTGTATCTAATTTTTTTAAGTTATTTATTTTTATTTTATTTGAATTGGTGTTTTGCCTGCATGTATGTCTGTGTGAGGTTGTCAGATCTTGGAGTAACATACAGTTGTGAGCTGCCATGTAGGTGCTGGGACTTATAAACCCAGGTCATCTGGAAGAGCAGTCAGTGCTTTTAACCACTGAGCCATTTCCCCAGCCCCATGTCTAATTTTTTTTTAGATGACAAAATTTGTAATATAATTTACATCCTGTGGGTTTTTTTTCCCCTTCCTGTTGTCTTTATTGTTTTGAGACAGGGTCTCACTATATGGCCTTGGCCTGGAACTCACTATGAAACCAAGCTGGCCTCACACTCATAGAGCTCCTACTGCCTTTGCCTCTCAAATGCTGGGATTAAAGACATGAACCACCATACTAGCTACATTGCTATTTTTTCATTCCACCTTTGGAGAAGTCTGTTCAGACACATATTTTTTAAAATATAGTAACAGCAAATTGAAAGAAATAGAAAGCCCTATTTTTGTCGTGCTCGATGCTGAGTGTGAGCCTTGCACACTAAGCATACAACGTTAACCTTGAGTTGCCTTCTGGTCCCACAAGTTTTTATTATTAGGGTGAATACAGTGACTGTGGTTAGACTGCCCCCAGAAAACTCCACAAATACTGTGGTTTTGTTGTTTTTATCATGGTTGGTTGGCTTTACTCTGAGCAGCAGTTATGATACGCTTGCTGCGTGGTCGTTGTGCTACTATTAAACTGCTGCTCTGCATGACACAGTGACGTAGTTGGCTTTGATTGAACACATGTGATATTCATGTGCATTTTAGAATGCTTTATGAATGAATTTGGTACTATTTTATAGCAACATACAGAAATAAAACCTTGAATGTTAGTGACTTTCTTTTGCGGTTTAAGTTAATGCCTCACAATGTCAATTATTAGTACACTTACTTTCAAATATCTTTGATCAGCGTTTTCATCTTTGGTATGCTGTCAGTTTTTCTATTTTTCTTCTCTAGCTGTCTTCTCAAATAGGTTTCTTGGTATTCACTTTTCATCACTGCTTGGTAGCTCCCACCCTTAGTATCATTGGCTTCTGTGGAGAGAGAAGTTTTTTACTGTCTACTGCTTAAAATTCGTAGTAGATGATAAAAACCACTCTTTGAAAACATGCTTGTGGTTGTCTTGAATGCACAAATGGGGATTTAAGAAATAAAGCTCCATACTTCTCGACTTTGAGAAACTGGATGGTAAGGTGTGCCTGATCTTCTCTTATGTGTAATTATAGTTTGAAGTTGTATTGCAGCTTCCTTTTGTCTGGGTTCATGGAACTTTACTTTGCTTTTTATTTATGTTTTTACTTTTATTAGTTATCTGTTTATTGATTTTGGTTTTTTGGCAGACAACATTGTTTTCACTTTGAAGGCCCTTGTGAAACTTGAACTTGTTATTACTTTCGAGCTCATGTGGTATAATGGGAAAACTCTATCTTAATTTGCTCCTGCCTATTGGAAGCATCCTTTAAAAGGATTGATTATGTCAGTGAGAGAGAATCATCACGTTTCTGACTTGAGGGAGTAGACAATATGTCTGCATGCTCTTCAAGAATTGGACAACCTCAAAGTTGACTTCTTTTTAAACCCTTTCACCAGTCTTAAACAGGCTACCTAATTCTGTATAGGGCCAGTACAATGACTTAGTGGGTAAAAGTGCTTGTCAACAGCCTGACCACTGGAGAGAGAACTAACTCCTGCAAGTTGTCCTCTGACCTCCATGCACATGCCATGGCACACGTGCCCCAGCAAACAGAAAATAATTAGGTAAATATAAGGAAAAGATCAAATTGAATCATGGTCTAATGGTTTTTAAATCTCCCTGTTTCTCTCAGATCCTTCCTGACTCCTCAACATTTCTCTCTCCCTCTAGGAAGTAAGCAACAAAACAGAAAAAAACCCAAAGAAAAACTACAAGAAACACACATATAAAACCCATAACCCCCCCCCCACAAAATCGGAAAACATTATAGAGAAGAAGCCCAGTAAGATTAAAAAAAAAAAAAAAGCCCAAACAAAGCAACATGAGACCAAAAGTCTACAATTGAGTTCATTTTGTGTTGTCCATGTACTGCCGGGCATGGGATCTGCCCTTAAGTGTACATGACATATACCCAGTGAGAGTCCATTGCAAAAAAATTTTTTTTCTTCCTTTGCTAGCTGGTGTCAGTTGGAGACAGCTTCTTGGTTAGGGATGGGAGCTCCTGTCCACTTTGTCTTCTCAGTGTTCCTATCCCGTCTCACTTGGACCTGTGTAGGCCTGTGTATACTGCAACATTCTGTGAGTTGGTATGTGCATCAGTCCTTTGTACATTAAAGTTAAAATGTGTTCTTGAAACATGGAGAGTCCTGTTCTGTTTTGTCTCTAGTTCCAAGAAGAGATTTGCACATAGCTCAGTCATTAGAGCCTGAGATTTGGTTCTGAAGAGAGGATGGACTCAGGGCCATAAGTCATCTGTCCACACCGATACTAACCTCTGGTTTTATGGTAATCAAGTTTAATAAAGTTTTGTAGCATAACAATTTAGTAGATAGTCTAAACCCAAGTGGTGTGATAAGAGTCAGAGTCTTCAGCACACTCAGTACTGAGTTTTATGTTATGTAGAGTAATTTTACATTTTAGAACTCAGTAGAATAAAAACTACTAACATCTATACTCAGTTTTCAGTATTTCACCTCCCAGTGCAGTCTGTGGTAAATTGGCACATTTGTTTAAATTCTCTGAGCTTACAGAGCCAAGTTTCTTTCTGGGTGCTGCTAAAGACATAGTGTTCACTGTAGTAATTTATGATTCACAGGATATATATGAATGGGTCTTTGTAACATGAAAAATGAAGGACACAATGACAGCTATTAGGGTTCAAGCTTCAAGTTGAAGACCAGAAAAGCAAAGCAGTCTGCCTCTAGCTTCTTACCTCTACCTCAGACTGAAAGGGCTGATCTTGTCTCCACAAGCTCTCATCAAGCCTCAGACTGCTGTCTCTCCACAGCATGACTGGAGAATGAATGTTCCTATCTTCAGGTTGGCTGGAGAATGACTGTCTCCTACTGAATACTGAAGAACCTGCTTCTATCTTTTATACCCTTCTAGTGCTGGGATTAAAGGCATGTGATCTGTTACTCTTTTAGACTGATTCAATTTCGTGTATCCCTGGGCCACCTTGAACTCAGAGAGATTAGTCTACCTCTTAATCCTGAGTCCTAGGACTAAAGGTGTGTACCACTACCTTATAGCTTCTGACTGCTGGGATTAAAGGTGTGTGCCTGGCTTCTATGGCTTGTGGCTGACTTTGCTTTCTGAATCTTCAGGCAAGCTACTATAAATCAGAAATAATGTGTCACCATAGGTCTTTAGTGTATATTGCTGACAATTCAAGTGTTTATTGTATTTTTTTCTGTTTATTTCACCTTTTCTCTAGTCATGAGGGGAAAACAAGGAAACTTTGAGGTTTAGGAAAATTTACTGTCTCTTATCATTAGTAACTAGGTACAAGGAAATAAAATGTTGTCTCTAAGAGAATAAGTATAGAAAATGGAGTTTAAGGGTTAGTTGGGTGACTCAGAAGGTAAAGGTACTTGCCACACCAGCCAGTAGACCTGAGTTTGACCTCCAGAACCCATGGAAAGGTGTAAGGACTTCATTAAGGTGTCTTCTGACCTTCCCATCTAAGTGTGTCACGGCAAAGGTGCTCATACGTATACATGCAAACATACAATTAAAAATTTCAGTACAAAAGTAATAAGATTTTAATACAATACTATGTACATGTACTACATGTGCTACAGTTATTAAAGATTTTAAAGTGTTTATTTTCTATAAAATTACTTTTGTTTTGCTTTGTTATTAGGCAAGATTTTGCTCTATAGCCTGGAACTTCCTATGTTGCCTGGGCTGACCTTGATTCTCATGGCTGTCTTTGTGTTTCGGCCTTCTAAGTGGAGGATCATAGGCACGAGCTACCACAACTGGCTCTAAAATTTTGTTAATTTGAGACAGAGACTTACTATATAGATCCCAGCCTTGCTTTGAACTCACTATGTAACCTGGGCTACCTTGAACTTGGGATCTTCCTGCCTCTACCTTCTTAATCCCTAGTGCTGAGATTACAGGTATATGCTACCAAATTTTACATGTGGCCTAAAATACAGTCCAATATGAAAATGAGCCTCTATCTGGTCCAGCATTTGAATTTTCTTTTGTAGTTAAATACTGTCTCTCAGGAACAGAATATCTTTTTCCCTGTTACTGTTACATGGATGCCAGTGTGTGCGCGTGCGCGCGCGCACACACACACACACACACACACACACACACACAGAGTGATATTTTATTTATGATTTATTAAAGCTTACCTGAAGGTACAGAAAGCAAAGCTAGCCACAAGCTATAGAGGTCAGGCAGTGGTGGTACACACCTTTAATCCCAGGACTCAGGATTAAGAGGTAGACAGATGTCTATTAGTTCAAGTCCACACTGACTACACTAAATTGATCCAGTCCTCAAAGAAACAACTCACACAAAGGTGTTCTCAGCACCTGGGATCACACGCCTTTAATCCCAGTGCTAGGAGGTGGAAACTTGAATGATATGGCTGCATAAAGAAAGGGATAAAAGGCAGGAGGGGACAGGAACTGAGAGTTTTGCCTCTGAGATTTGTGGAAACAGGATTGCCGCTTCAGCTGGGTAGAGGTAAGATCCACTTGCTTCTCTGATCTTCATCTTGAAGCTTGAATCCCAATATCTGTCTCTGGGTCTTTTTTTGTTTGTGTGTGTTACACACACGCACACACACACACACACACACACACACACACACACACACACACACAGTCCCAACTACTTAAATTACAAGTAAACACTGGTTTTACTACCTAATAGTATTGTAGTCTAATTGTATTGTTGTGAGGATTAAATGGTAATTTATTTTTACTATTATGTTCTGTGATTTACAAGAAACAGAGATTCTCATAATAGCCAGTCTTACAGATATTGAATGATTCCTGTTAATATTACATCTAAACAAAAATGAGAAGTTTTCCATTGTGCCCTCTGAGAAATACTTGGTAGTGCCTATTTTGTTTAAGTGGTGCTGGGTAGAACCTAGTGTCTTGCACTGTCCAGTAAGCACTGTACTACTGAGCCATATTCCTAGCCATGAACAGTACTGATACTGGTTTATGATTGAAAAATTTATTATAGGGATCTTTTGCCTGCATGAATGTCTGTACCTGCCTGATACCCATGAGACCAGAAGAGAGCATTGGATCTCTTGAAGCGGGAGGGGTATTTTTGTTTTGTTTTTTTGAGACAGTGTTTCTCTGTGGCTTTGGAGACTGTCCTGGAACTAGCTCTTGTAGTCAGGCTGGTCTTGAACTCTGTCTCTGCCTCCCGAGTACTGGGATAAAAGGCGTGTGCCACCACTGCCTGGAGAAGTTGGAGGTCCTAATTGTTTGAGATGTCATCTGAGTGCTGGGGATCGAGCCCATGTCCTCCGGAAGAGCAGACAGTACTCTTAACCACTGAGACATCTGTCCAGCCCCAAGTTTATGATTTTAATTGTGAAGGCATGTTCTCTCTATAAAATCCAGGCTGGCCTGGAACTCTCATCCTGCTGCCTGAGAGCCTCCCTCCCATTTCTGGGATTAAAGCTTGTGCTTCCATACCTGAAGCCCCTCCCCCCTTAATTAAACTTCTGTAAGTAGTCAAGTGTGTTCCTTTTTCTTATTTCATTTCTTCTACTTCCCCTTTAAAACCTAGACTTAGGCCTATGTTTTGTTTCTGTTTGTCAATTGTGAAATATGTCCAACAAGAAGACTGCATAACTTGCGATTTAAAGAATAATTATAAAACCACCCCTTGACTCTGCCTGGGTTCAGAAACTTAAATCTGCCAGGTCCTTGGACTACACCTGTGTATACTTCTGAGGATACCTTTCACCCTACCAGAGGTCTCCCCGTCATAACCTCGAGGAAAACATGTTCTTGTTTGTCTATGGGTCTTGACCTCCAAATAGAATAAAACTGTTTGTCTGCTTTTGAACCCTGTCCTAAGTGGATATGATTGTACATACTGTATTAAAATTTGTTCATTGTTTTCATTGGAATTCATGACTAACAAGAACTTAGAATAATTTCTTTTCCTAATTATTTATGGAAACAGTTGCTATCTGTAGTTTTGTAAACTATGGTTTGTGATGAAGTTGTAAATACTTATTCTTTCCCTATTAGTTACCACAGCTTTAATAGACAGGATGGGAGATACCAAAGAGAAAGTTCGAGAGGAAGCTCAAAACCTGGCACTGAAGCTGATGGATGAGGTGGCACCACCTATGGTAGGCTTGCGTTTGAACGACAAGTTTCTAATTGGATAGATGGTAACTACAGCAAACTAACAAACCTTCAGGAAGCAGGAATTTTATATAGTTGATTATTGCTAATGTTTTAAAGAAGTTTGAATTCAAGGTGCAGTGCCAATAAGTAAGGTTTCTTCTTCTTCTTCTTCTTCTTCTTCTTCTTCTTCTTCTTCTTCTTCTTCTTCTTCTTCTTCTTCTTCTTCTTCTTCCTCTTCTTCTTCTCCTCCTCCTCCTCTTTCATTTAACTTTCCTGTTTTTCACTTACATTAAAAAATCATACAGACTTAAGTGAATTGACAGGTGCTAGTTGTACTTGTGCTTCACCATTTTCTGTTTTTCTTATCTGCAAATTATAAGATACTGAAAAAGAAACCTTATTTTGAAAACTACTGAATATTATATTAATATAACTCAGAAACAAGAAGAAATTCTTTGATTTTTCATAGGTGGCTATTGATTATGGAAAGCATGTTTTATGACAACTTGGGTTTTGTTAGTATAGTAGAAGTAATTTGCCCTTAAAGAATGTATTGATGGCACTGGGTACATGGCATTCTGTAAGAGAATGTTAGTCTGATCTCCAGAAGTCCTTCCCTTCCCTTCCCTTCCCTTCCCTTCCCTTCCCTTCCCTTCCCTTCCCTTCCCTTCCCTTCCCTTCCCTTCCCTTCCCTTCCCTTCCCTTCTCCTCCCCTCCCTTCTCCTCCCCTCCCTTCTCTTTCTCCCTTCTTTCTCTTTTCCTTTTGTTTAAGTTGGGCATGTGGCATATTTGTAATCCTAGTAATGGGGAGGCAGAGCCATACAGATCCCTGGGGCTTGTTAGCCAGTGAGTCTAGCTTCACCTGCTTTGGCATGTTTTAGGCCAGTGAGAGACTTGTGAGGTAGATAGCACCTGATGAACAACACGGGGTTGTCCTTTGCCTTTCATAGGAACAAATATTTACATACCTGTACTCACATTCACCTGCATAAATGAACACACATACATGTATATGTGCTCATACACTAGTAATGTATTGTTCTGAGGCTAGAAACCTGTAACAACAAAAAAGGTGTATTTAGTACATAGTGTTGGAAGTACTATGGGGTCCACCTAGGTGCATCATTTCATGGAAAGTGGCCTCGTGATGGCACAGATGTTTGCATGGTTAAGAGAAACTAAAAGCCAAGTTTGTTTTTGTTTTGTTTTGTTTTTGTCAATTTACTGTTTCTTAGAGGTCTTTCTATTAGAAAATTATTTTATATGTATATGTGTATATTTATATGTATGTGTGAATGTATATATACCACCTGTATGCAGGTACCTACAAAAATCAGAATTGGAGTTACAGAGGCAGTTGTGAGCCTTTGTGTGGGTACTGGGAACTGAACTCATGTCTTCTGCAAGAGCAGCCATTGCTCTTAACCACTGAACCATCCCTATAGCCCCCAGATCTTTCTGTCTTAACATTGCCATGCTGAGGACCAAGCCTCTAACACATAAAACCTTGGGGGGAAACCTCATCCACACTGTAGTATAGAAATACTTTAAAGGAGAGTAAAAATAAGCTGACCTGTACACCACAGTTGAGAGGGTGGCTTAAAGTTCACATGATAGTCATAGTGGTATCATGTGATGCTTAAACTATAATGTTACATATGTTTAATAAGGCAAGAGTACTGAGCTTTAAAGGGAAACTTCATAACAATACCTTTTTAAAAAGTTTTATAGATAGTCTGTACTAATTTACATTTTAAGTTTTTTGCTTTCTTACTATAGAGAGTACTGTAGATATAAACATTTTTTTTAAAAATAAAAACCAGTTTCAGAGATGGGATGCTAAGTCATATTATTCAAACTATGATCCTCCCTTGGTGGTGGTAGCAACAGAACCTGGTGGATTTCAGTGGCAAATGTTTTGTCCAGCCTTAGTTAAGATTTTTAAATTTCACAAGGTTGGTGACTTGATTTCAGAGTTTGATCCCCAGGATCCATGATAAAGAGAGACCTGACTCCTGCAAGTGGTCCTCTGCCTTCACATCTCCAGTCACACAGACACATACCTCTCACATAAGTCACACACACACACACTCACAGGTGTAGAAAAAAAACAGTTGAAGTCCTTGCTACACTATACCTAAACAATTGTTTTGCATTGCTAATACAAGCTTATTTTTCCTTTTTCCATACCTCTCACATAAGACACACACACACACACACACACACACACACACACACACACACACACACTCAGAGGTATAGAGAGAAACACTTGGAGTCCTTGCTACACTATGCCTAAACAATTGTTTTGCATTGTTAGTATAAGCTTATTTTTCCTTTTTCCTGATAGACTAGGTATAGTTGGTTGTTGTTTTCACTCTTTGACTCTTATACTTTGTTCTTTGCTCTTTTGGGGGCCTACTACCCAGCTCCTATATAAATCACACATGAAGTTTTATTCTTATAAATGCTCTGCTTTAGTTTGGCTTGTTTCTAGCCAGCTTTTCTTAAATTATCCTGTCTACCTCTTGGGCTTTTATCTTTCTCTATTTTTGTATACTTTTCTTTACTTCTTGCTCTGTGGCTTATTGTGTAGCTGGGTATTTGGGCCCCTCCTCTTCTCTGTCTCTGCCCCTCTATACTCTTTTTCTCAGATTTCTCCTTCTATTTATTCTCTCTGCCTGCCAGCCCTGCCTATCCTTTCTCCAGCTTTGCTATTGACCATTTGGCACTTTATTAGACCAATCAGGTGTTTTAGACGGACAGTATCACAGCTTCAGAGTTAAATAAATGCACCATAAAAGAATGCAACACCTTGGGCTGGAGAGATGGCTCAGCCGTTAAAAGGCTAGGCTCACAACCAAAAATATAAGAATGAAACAGATCTTTGCATCATTAAACAAATGTTCCACAGCATAAATGAATGTAACAATCTTAAATTAATATTCCACAACAACTAGGTAGTCATAAAGTGACCTGTCCCAAATGCTTCTATGTTTGTGTCCAGTATTAAAAATAGAAAAGCTTTAATTATAAGATGTTTGCAGTCATTCCATGTGACCGTCTGTTGTAGTTGCTGGGGAGTTTTGCATCTACTGAGTGCTTCATAGACCACTGTGCTTATAATTGCAGCATTGTTAGAATAAGAGACCTGTGTTCTTGGAAATGCTTATGTATGGGGCATGATTTTCCTTAGTTACTGAAATTCAAAGGGAAAAGCATGTAAATAAAAACTCAAAATAATGGTTCAGATATTAAATGGGTAGGAGCCCACAAACTCAAACAAACAAAAACCTTGTAAATACGAGTTGATCATTCCCCATCTGAACACCCAAAATCTTTTGTTCGTTGATATAACATTAAGACTGTGAGTGGAAAATTCCACACCTGCTCCATGTGACAGGCTATAGTCAAAATTTAGCTGCACTAAAATTTTATATAAATAATGCTCATATGTGTAAAGTGAGTCTCAAGTTTAGGTTTGCGTCCTAGCAACAAGATTTCTTACCATGTAAATAGTCCCAAAAATTGAAAAAATGTTCCAAATTTGGAACACGTCTGATACCCGATAACTTAATTGTAAGGCTAGGAAGAGTTATATTTGTCATATGCATTACCTGACTTTTTAATCGTGTGTGTCTACTTGTTTTCCTCATAGTACATCTGGGAGCATCTGGCCTCTGGTTTCAAGCACAAGAACTTTCGATCTCGAGAGGGTGTGTGCCTGTGTCTGATTGAAACCTTGAACATGTAAGTTCTGTGGTTACTGAAACAGCTTTCTTTCTCTTAGTCATTTCTCAAGGCTCAAGGTTTCCACAAAGTGAAGGAAGAATGAAAATAAATTTTAAATAGTTATTAATTGGTCTTCTAAACAAAAATGTAATCTTTAATGCTACTTTGTATATATGTAAGTATCTGTTCTATTAGTTTTTGGAGTTGTCTCTTTTTTCTTTTTAGCCAATCAGAATTGGTGTGCTTCAGAACTTTTTAACTCAATGGTGTGTCACATGCTGAAGCCATTTCCCCACATCCTTTGTATCCATTAGTTCTAAGCTGGAGCACTCACTGTGGGTGACTGTTATGTACCTCTCAGGACCTTGTCAGGACTTTGTACAGTCCACCTAGTAGCAGGTGTAAGAGTCCTGATAGAATTGCCATCACAGTGCTATGATATAAGTGGAAGAAATGTGAGTGGAGGCTTTTGTTATTATTCTAGAATAATTTTCCCGACTGTGCAGTATGATAGGTAAACGTAGTCTCTTCTGACTCTTCCTGTGGTGTGACTTCCTCTTCTTTCACTGCTCTGGGTCCTTCCTGCTACCAAGTTAGCACACTTTCTGAGTTTTAGTTCCTGCCATTTGCATTCAACCTAGACTACAGAATGTTAGTAAACATGATGATCTTTTAAGTTACTTAATTTCATTTCACTGAGTATTGAGATCTAGTGTCATTAAAGACAAACACTATTTCAAAAGTACATGCTCAGATTTTCTTAAGTAATTGATAGGCTACCAGGGTTGTCAAATTGCTGATGAGTATTTTGCCTTGTTGGGTCATGTGTCAACTTGACAAAAGGTATAGTCGTCTGAAAGGAGAGAGCCTCAATTGAGAAATGCCTCCATAAGATCCAACTGTAAGGCATTTTCTTTGTTAGTGATTAATAGGTAAAGACTCAGCCCTTTGTAGGTGATGTTGTTCCTGGGCTGGTAGTCCTGGGTTCTATAAGGAAGCAGACCGAACAAGCCATGGGGAGCGAGCCAGTAAGCAGCCTCCTCCATGGCCTCTGCGTCAGCTCCTGCCTCCAGGTTCCTGCCCTGCTTGAGTTTCTGCCCTGACTTCCTTTGGTGATGGATGTGTAAACCAAATAAACCCTTTCCTTCCCAACATGCTTTTGGTTGATGTGTTTTATCATAGCAGTAGTTACCCTGACTAGGACCGCATCAGTCACACTTACTCTGGTTGGCTGCAGCAGTGGTGACCCTGATTAGGACTGCATCATTCACATTTAATCCAGGTCGGCACTTTTTGTTACTTAGCATCACTTTGCTTGATACTTGATGTATGTCCATGTTCTTCATCAAAGTTGTCATGATAGAGATAACAAGAAAGGCCTGGCATTGGTGGGCACACCTTTAATCCCAGTACTTGGGAGGCAGAGGCACGCGGATCTCTGAATTTAAGGCCATCCTAGACTACAGAGTTGAGTTCCAGGACAGCCAGGGCTACACAGAAACCCTGTTTTGAAAAATAACAACCAACCAACCAACCAACCAACCAACCAACCAACCAACCAACCAACCAACCAAAAGAAAGCATCAGGATATTTTGTTCAGTATTGAAATGAAACCAAATTCTCTCTTTTTTTTCTTCAAATTATATTTAGCTTTGGAACGCAACCACTGGTTGTCAGCAAGTTGGTGCCACATTTGTGTATCTTATTTGGAGATTCTAATAGTCAGGTAAATTTTTTTTGCTTTCAAGCATTGACTGTGTGTGGTGTGTGTGTGTGTGTTGTCCCTTCTTGTGCTTTTACGTTATTTAAGCTGTAACAATAAAGATAGAGAAGGTGGATAGTAAAAAGATTGCCTTGTTTTTGTTTTGTTTTTTTTTGATTAACTGAGGGTCTAGCTGTGTTGCTCACCCGATCTTCCTGATCCACCCTCCCAAGTAGCTAGGACTACAAGCCCCTTCTCCCTTCATCTTCTTCCCCTTCTACCAGAGTTTGTTTACTTATTTATTTTGGAACAGACATTAAGTTGTCAGTTCTTGGGCTGATATTAAGGATAAAAAGAACTTAATGGTTAGTTCTTGAGTTGACAGACTAAGAGAATCCTGGGTTCCCTTCTTAGTCCAGAGTGTCACCAGCCTACATTCTTGCATATGCTTATGCTAGGACTGTTGCAGTTGCTGAAAACCCTGTTTAATAGGGAAGGCCTTTGTGTTCATGGTGCATCTCTTTACCTGAGCTCTCTGCTGTAGTCAGGAGGCAAGGCTATGCACTGCCTGCCTCATCCTCCCCTGAAAGTCAGTTGTAATATTCTATCATTATCTGTGAACTAGCTAGGGTATTTGGAGTAACACCGAGTAAGATTTTTTTCCTTCTTAAAAGTTCTAGTTGTCCCTAAACAGGTTTGTAGAGTTTTACTCTCTTAAGTTGCTGTTTTATTTACAGACAAAGGTTCTTCTTTTCTTGCCCCGCCTGACCTCAATCTCTTGAACTCAATTGATTTTCTCCACCTTAGTCTCCCAGGAGGCTAGGACTGTAGGTGTGTGCAATCACACCTGGCTCTCAGTTGCTCTTTGACAGTGAGTTGTGTAAAAGAATAAGGGTTGTTTTTCAAATTGTTCTCTTAGGTCGCATTCTTTTTTTCACCTCTTAAATAGAATATAAATTTACCATTGCACCTATTTTTAAGTATACACTTATACGTTCACATTGTTTTGCAACTATATCACCATCTACCTGTAAAACTTTTACCTCCTCAGAACTCAGACTCTGTACCCATGAGACAACTTCCTATTCCTCTCCCCCAGCTGCTGGCAACTACCATTCTTCATCATAATTTGACTACTCCAGGTACCTAGTGGAAGCAATCAGACAATAGCTGTCCTTTTTGATCAGTCCCATTTTGTATAATGCCCACGAGTTGTCCATGTTGCAAAATGTGTCAGAATTCTCCTCTTCTTTCTAAGGTTGAATAATTTTCCAGTAATTGAGACACCACATTTTATGTATATAGTATATGGGAATAGGAAGTTTTGTTTTGTTTGTTTTATTTTTTCTTTCTTTTGGCTCTTCTGGATAATTTTAGAAATGCTGATATAAAAATACCTTTTTGAGTTCAGTATACATTTTTGAAAGATAATTTTATTCCAGGAAAATCAATTAATTGTATTTTAGATTAATTACACTTTTTGAAATTCTAATTGGTAGCTTTTATTCACAGATTTCTATTAACTACCTCCCACCTCCCATCTGTTTTCTTTTTCTTTTTCCTTTTTTTTCTTTTCTGATGTTAGTGGGGGTTGAACCTAAAGGTCTCACACATGCTGGGCAAGTGCTCTACCACTAAGGTTTTGCTCTTCTTTCAATGGGTTTTTTTTAGGGCTTTTTTCTTTTTTGGACAAACTGTGTTTTTGGGTTTCCATTAATAACATGTCATATTATAATTTCCCCAGGGACTGAAAAGACATTAAAACCAACTTAGAGTGTCAGGTTGGCCTGATAGTTTATTGTTACATTGAAAGAAAGTGTCATATCTAAGCTTTATTAAAATGTCTTGAAATCTTTGACAGGTGAGAAATGCTGCAGTATCGACAGTAGTGGAGATTTATAGACATGTAGGAGAGAAGCTGAAGGTTGATCTGTCTAAGAGAGACATTCCTCTGGCTAGGTAAGTCTTCCTAAATTTATAGTTTGCTACAATTTGTTTGTTTTTTTAATTATGAAGCTGTTGGCCATTTGCTATGGTTTCTAATCATTTCGTTTGTTTTTTCAAGGCAAGATTTCTCTGTGTAATAGCCTGGCTGTCCTGGAACTTGCTCTGTATACCAAACTGACCTTACCTGGTCTATTGCTGTAGACTTTTAAAGTTATAATTTTGTTTACTTTATTAAAGTAAAATATTAGAACCAGGCGTGATGGCACATACCTTTAATTCCAGCACCTGAGAGGCAGATGCAGGCAAATCTGTTGAGTTGGAGGCAAACCAGGTCTGCATAGAGAGTTCCAGGCCAGGCAGGGATCCTTAGCATCTACATTTTAAGGACCCTGAGCTTTCTGGAACCAGTTTATAGAAGTGAAGAAACACACCTAGGCAGTTGGTGCTCATGTTTCTTTCAGCTTGGCTGTGTAAGTGCTTAATATTTCCAGGGTAGAGTGTCTATGAATTGGAATTTTGTCCATAGATAATACTGTCACCTGCAGAGATAATTTGTTTTTCCCAGTCTGTTTATCTTTCATTTCTCTTTCTTGTCTTCATTATTTCCTATGTGCTGTTAAGAAAGAGTCAAATGGGGGTACGTTCTTGCCTTGTTCTGATCTTAGAAAATCTCTAGTTTCTTAGCATTAAAAATAATGTTAGTTGCTGGGGTGATAAAACATGCCTTCAATTTTAATACTTAGAAGGCAGAGGCAGGTGGATCTCTGTGAGTTTTGAGCTAGTGAGATCTTGTATCAAAAAATGTTAGGAATTTATACTGTTTTAAATTACATTTTATTTGGGAGTGTGAATGGCATGATGCATGTTTGGAGGTCAGAGGACAACATGGGGAAATCATCACATGATCTGACTTTGGGACAAGTACCTTTCTGCCATTGCTGTCTACCCCTAAAAATTGATTCTAATGAAGAGTTAAAACTAAAAAGCAGTTGGGCGTTTTATTTATAAAGGTGGGCTGGGCAAAGTGATTTTTATTTTTTCAAAGTCTACTCCTAACATCTTTTCCCTAGAGGCCAGATTGTAGCCAGTATTGTTTGTAGCTACCAATTGTCTGCATTTTCTTTCTTTCTTTCTTTCTTTCTTTCTTTCTTTCTTTCTTTCTTTCTTTCTTCCTTTCTTTCTTCTTTTTTTTGGGGGGGTAAGGGGCAGTTGAGACAGGTTTCTCTGTGTAACTCTGGCTGTCCTGGAACACACTCTGTAGACCAGGTTGGTCACGAACTCACAGAGATCCACCTGCCTCTGCCTTCCAAGTGCTGGGATTAAAGGTGTGCGATACTACTGCCTGGCTAATTGCATTTCCATCAATAGTTTATATTGTTGGTCTTATTACTGATTTTCAGTTTCTGGTCGTAATATATGACGGCTTCATTGTGGATGTAATGCATTTGTTTCTGATTACTAACAAAGGGGAGTGTCCTTTTTTTTTTTTTTGGCCATTCGGTTCTTTTTATAAATTTATTATTGGGGGTGCATGTGTTATTTTTTGATACAAGGTTCTCTGGTATAAAGCCCAGGTTGGCCTTGGGCTCTCCATATTGTGTGTGTGGTGTGTGTGTGTGTGGTGTGTGTGTGTGTGTAAAATATATGTATGTGTACACGTATGATATATATGTATATTTCCAAATGTGCCCTAGCCTCAGAGTGCTAGGGTGATAGGCGTGTGCCACCACCACAGTGGAATATATTCTCTACATAAGTGTTCTTTTCAAGTTTCTTGTTCATTTGTTAGTCTGGATTGTCTGTTTTCTTTGATTATTTTTTATTTTTATTTGTGTATCTATATGAATATATGTCATGTGTTATGCCTGTAGCTACAGAGACCAGAAGAGAGCATCATATCCCGTGGATCTCAGTTGCAGGCAGTTGTGAACCACTGAAAGTGGTTGCTGGGAACTGAACCCAGGTGGTCTGAAAGAACAATAAGCACTCTCTACCTCTGAGCTGTCTGGCCAGTCCCTACTGTGTTTTCAGAAGGTGGACTTGGAAAGACATCTTTCTGTGTTGTAGATACAAGCTTCCTTAACTGCATGATGTTCCAGTTATCTTACCCTCTGTGACTGAATATTTTAAATTCTTGACAGTGTGTTTTTTTTTTTTCGTCCATGTACATGGCTTTTTTGTTAATAAAAAAAAAAAAAAGGAGATTCATGTGTGAGTGTGGGCAAAGCATTGTAGCCATGCAAAGAGCAGGGCAGTCTGTAGGACTTCATTTTCTCTCCGTCACATAATTTCTAGGGAAGGAGCTGAGAAGATCAGGCTGGGCAGCAAACAGGCTTACCTGATGAACCATCTTGCTGGCTCTTTTTTTTTTTTTTTGGTTTTGAGACAGGGTTTCTCTGTGGCTTTGGAGCCTGTCCTGGAACTAGCTCTCATAGATCAGGCTGTTCTTGAACTCACAGAGATCTGCCTGCCTCTGCCTCCCGAGTGCTGGGATTAAAGATGTGTGCCACCAAAGCCCTGCTATTGCTGGGTCTTTTTTGTTTGCTAATTTTTAGCTTAGCATTAAAAAACAGAGAGTGAGATTTTATTATGGCATTTTCATGTATGTGTTATTATACTTAGTTTTTAATCACTTCTTTTTTATGTTTTTATTTAAATTAGAAACATGCATGCTTCAAATGTCAATCCCAGCTCCTCCCCCCTCCCTTGTCCCTTCACCAACCCCCCACCCCCACCCCAGCCCAATCCCCACATCATTCCCCAGGGAAGGTAAGGCCCTCCTTGGGGGGATCTCCAGAGTCTGTCATTTCATCCAGGGCAGGACCTAGGCACTTCCCCATGTGTCCAGGCTGAGAGAGCATCTCCCCATGTGGAATGGGCTCCCAAAGTTCATTTGTGTGCCATGGTGAACACTAGTCTATTACCCAAAGTCCCAGAGATTTCTGAGGCTTCCTCACTGACACTACATTCATGGAGTCTGGATCAGTCCCCTGCTGGCCTCTTAGCCATCAGTCTGGGGTTCAAGAGCTCCCCCCTTGTCCAGTCAGCTGTCTTTGTGGGTTTCACCAGCACGGTCTTGACCCCTTTGCTCATCACTCCTCCATCTCTATCACTGGGCTCCAGGAGTTCAGTTCAGTGTTTAGCTGTGAGTATCTGTCTCTGCTTCCATCAGTCACTGGATGAAGGTTCTAGGATGGCATATGAGGTAGTCATCAACCTTATCAGGGAGGGGCTATTAATGTAGTCTCTCTGCTATTACTTAGTTTGCCGGTTATCCTTGTAGATCTCTGGAAATCTCACTAGTGTTAGCTCTCTCCTCAAAGCTATAATGACTCTAAATATTATGGTATCTCTCATCCTGGTCTCCTCTATTCTTATCCCAATTCAACCTTCCTGGTCTCCCATGTCTTCCTCTACCATCCTCTTATCCCTCTCTCTTTTTCCTGCTTCCCTCTCCTCTCTCCTCCATGTTCCCAATCTCCTCAGGAGATCTTGCCTCATTCCTCTTCTCTGGGGTATAATGCATATCTCTTGGGAACCTTGCTGTTTCCCAGACTCACTGGCCCTGGGATTGTAGGCTGACACTCCCCTGATCCATGTCTAAAATCCATATATGAGTGAGTACATACCATGCTTGTCTTTTTGGGAATGGGTTACCTTACATCAGGATGGTTTCTTCTAGTGCCGTCCATTTGCCTGCAAATTTCAAGATTCCATTTTTTTCCACTGAGTAGTACTCCATTGTATAAATATACCACATTTTCTCTAGTCATTCTTCAGTTGTGGGGCATCTAGGTTGCTTCCAGGATCTAGCTATTATAAATAATGCTGCTATGAACATAGTGGAACAGACATCCTTGTTGTATGAATGGGTGGAATTGCTGGGTCTTGTGGTAGACTGATTCCCATTTTCCTGAGGAATCTCCATACTGATTTCCAAAGTGGCTGTACAAGTTTGCATTCCCACCAGCAGTGGAGGAGTGTTCCCCTTTCTCCACATCCTCTCCAGCACAAACTGTCATTGGTGTTTTTCATTTTAGCCATTCTGACAGGAGTAAGATGATACCTCAGAGTTGCTTTGATTTGCATTTCCCTAATGGCTAATGATGTTGAGCACTTTCTCAAGTGCCTCTCAGCCATTTTAGACTCCTCTATTGAGAATTCTCTATTTAGTTCAGTCCCCCACTTTTTAATTGGATCCTTTGGTGTTTTGGAGACTTGCTTCTTGAGTTCTTTGTAAATTTGGAGATCAGACCTCTGTCAGATGTGAGGTTAGTGAATATTTTTCCCAATCTGTGGGCTGCCTTTTTGTCTTGCTGACTATGTCCTTTGCCTTACAGAAGCTACTCAGTTTCAGGAGGTCGCATTTATTAATTGTTGATCTCAGTGTTTGTGCTACTGATGTTATGTTCAGGAAGCAGTCTCCTGTACCAATTCGTTCAAGGGTATCTCCCACTTTCTCTTCTAACAGGTTTAGTGTGGCTGGATTTATGTTGAGGTCTTTGATCCATTTGGACTTAAGTTTTGTGCATGGCGATAGACATGGATCTATCTGCAGTCTTCTGCATACCAGTACCCAGTTATGCCAGCCCCATTTGTTGAAGATGCTTTCTTTTTTCCATTGTATAATTTTAGCTTCTTTGTCAAAAACGTTTTTAATCATTTCTGTTCCTCACTCTCCTCCACATGCTCCTGCGCACTGCGGTTGTTACCTTCCTTTGTCTAGAAAGACGCACCTTTTGCTTTCTTGTTTATAATCTGTTGTCAACTTTCACAACCTTAAGATCTGTTCTTCCTTTCTCATGATCATCTTTCTAGTTTCATGGCTTTCATGTACATTTTAAACGCAAACACACACATATATATATAGCCGTATATGTAAGTGCAGACATACTCATAAAATTTTAAATATAGGATCTACATATAAGAGAAAACGTGATATTTGTCTTTCTGTTTTTTTTTTTTTTTTTTTTTTTTTGAGACAGGGTTTCTCTTTGTAACCTGGATGTCCT